TCCACGAGCCAGCGCATTGCTGAGATGAAGGCAGCGCAGAGAGGGAGGTATTTGCCACGAACGCGAAATATAAAGCGTTAGCAAATTCAATACCCCAGGTAGTGTTCGAGGCTGCTGAGTATCGTGGGCTTATCTCGGCCAACGAACAGTGGCAGCAGTACACGGGTCAATCCCTGGAGGATGCCCTTAAACTAGGTTTTGCGAAACATATACATCGAGACGACCTTGAGAAATGCGGTATCTTACTCCCGCCAAACATCATCCCGGAGTCCGACAATCCGATCGAGTTAGGACGTATCATCAATTCTTTGCGGGGTTCGGAACCCTCTAATGGAACTCCTGAGTCGGATTCAAGCGAGCTACGAAATAAACGTCCATTTTCTCGAACCAATTCATTCCATGATAAGAATGGACGTTCAAAATACCAAGGGCTAACGCATGCGCTCCATGAGCTTGTGGAAAAAGGTGTGGTCACCATACAGAAAGATGAAAACGAGAGGTATTCTTATACAACCGAAATCCGGCTGCGATCGAGAGGCGGTGACTTCCGATGGCATCTCGTGCGTCTTGTGAAAGTTGAAACGACAAGTTTTGGCGATGGCGAGGCTTCCTGGTATGGTACCTGCACCGATATCAATGATCGAAAACTTCTAGAACGGAAGTTGAATAGGGAGATGGAGTCGAAAACGAAGTTTTTCAGTAATATGTCCCACGAGATCAGAACGCCGCTTAATGGGATCTTAGGGACGATTCCGTTTATTTTGGATACGCAGTTAGATAACGATCAAAGACGTATGCTCGATACTATCCAGAACAGTTCTACCAACCTACGTGAACTTGTCGACAATATTTTGGATGTATCCAAAGTAGAAGCAGGGAAGATGAACATGGTGCGACAATGGCTCCATGTTCGCTCTGTCGTGGAAGATGTGATTGATACGATCGGGTCGAGGGCGATAGATAAGGGACTTGAGCTGAATTATCTCGTCGAGCCAGATGTCCCTGCAATGGTGATTGGGGATAGGTTCCGAATACGCCAGATCCTTATTAACCTGATGGGAAATGCAGTCAAGTTCACGTCACAGGGAGAAATATACACACGCTGTTCAATCCATCGCGACCCTTCCGTTCCTGTAAACGGAACAGAGATCCTTTTGAATTTTGAGGTCGTTGATACCGGCAAAGGATTTAGCTCTACAGATGCCGAGCGTCTAATGCAAAGATTCAGCCAGATTGAGGGGAGCGGCTCGCAGCAGCATTCAGGAAGTGGGCTTGGCCTCTTCTTGTCCAAACAGCTCGTGGAGATGCATGGTGGGCGGTTGACCCCTACAAGCAAGGAAGGCCAAGGCGCCAAATTCTCCTTTTTTGTTAAGGTTGATGCACCTCCACCGCCACCGCCCCAGGATTCATTCAATTTAAACCTTGAGGATCGATACTTTCAACCCATAGACGATATTTATCCATTTAAGAGCCCGAACAAACAGGAATTCCATCTCACTCAAGACATACTAAGCTTGCATTCATCGACAAATTCGGACGTCATGAGTCTACCCAGCAAGCAACTCTCTGGGTCGTCTTGGGGATCAAATCAAATCAACACGCCACCATCCTCTCGGAGTGGAGGAACCCCTTCGAAACCTGATCAGCCTAGCCAATTCATTCCCCTTGCTATATCAAGTCCCAGCATGGCAGCGACTGAGGTTATGGTTAGCAGTTCTTCCTCTCAAAATATCGCACCTGCGCTTCCTTCGTCCTATGATGTATTGATAATATGTCCCTTCGATTATGCCCGCGAGGCTCTAAAGCAACACATCGAGCAAGTTATTCCTCTCGAGGTCACCTGCAAAGAAACTGCGATTCTCGATGTCGAAGACTGGAAGGATCTTGTTACTGGCGGTGAATGTCCCAAGTTCTCTCACGTGGTAGTCTGCCTCCCAGATGCCAACGACGTCAAGGGAAACTATGCAAATCATTATCCAATTTGGTTGGGATAATAACAACATCAAACACATGGCCGGCCTTGATCATCGTCTCGGACATCTATCAGAAACGGGAGATCAGCGAGGCCTACGAACCGATTTGTGTCGCTGGAGGTAAAGGAATCCTTATTCTCGAAAGCCCCGTGAA